GGACCTGGGCCTCCCCCAGTCCCAGAGGCCAGGAGAGCATACTCCACATGGGATGGGAGGCTGCGCAGTCCCACACCACCTTCTCGCTGCCACCACCACGGTCACTGTCACTCAGGGACCTGCCTCCCTGGCTCCAAACCCAGCCTCGAGCCTGGACCCAGCACCCAGAGGTGTCTGGACAACGTCCCTGGCCCCAGAAGAAGACAAGACCAGGCTCAACCCCACAGAGATGCTCTCACCACCAGGCAGCATTACCTGGGAGCGCCTGTGCCTGCAGTGGTTGGGGTCCCGAGCCGTGGCCTCGGGGACGGCGCCTGCCCCTCGCCGCTCGGGGAGAGCTATTTATCTGCTGCGGGGGGTGAGGAGCCCAAAACCGCATCACTTCCCCGTTCAGGGGTTTGTGCCTGCCGCTGCTTTTGGGAAGTGGCTGACATCGTCAGCTATTTCTTGCCTTTTACTAATTCGGGGCTGTTGCGGGGCAGGGGCCGTGGCGGTCCCCACAGGAGGTTTTTGTGGCATCCCAGCACCCCAGATTATGAGGGACATGGGGGTGATGCATTTGTTTTGCACCACTGCAGCCCCAAGCAGCATCGCTCTCCTGGCACCCCCAGAGCCCCTCAGGGCATCCTTGGTCCTGTGCTGAGCCAGAGCATGGCCATACCCCATCCACCCACCCAGAGGCTGTAGCAGAGATGCCACCTGCCTAAGTCCTCCCTGGGGCAATCTGTTCCCCAGAAACTTTATTCTCGCTGTTAATTAGTGGGTTTTCACTGCAGCATGCCCAAAGCGAGGAGAGAGGACTCTGACAGCTGTCCTGAAGGGGGTCCCAGTTGGGCACGGAGGCCGTGCCAGGACAAGGGGCGATGCAGATGCTGCTGGGGCCGCCTGGCCGAGCTGTGGGGTTTGTACTGAGGCCGGGGCACCATCCGCTTGGGTTTTCAGGAGGAGGCTCCAGAGGGGCCTGGAGGAACCTGCACAAGGAGCAACCAGGAGAGAATCATCTGCCCTAGTTTGAGCACGGCTGCAGCATGACCTTCAAGACAGGGGCTGAGCTGATGTTTGGCCGGTTCGGGACAGGATCCAGATCCCACCTCTGCCGCAGGTGCCGGTACCTAAAGTAAAGGAACCCGACACTGCAGCATGAGCCTGCCTGCACAACCGAGCAAAGCTCACCCTCAGGTTTGGTGGCTCAACCTTGTGTAAGTGGACTGGGAGTGTGGGAAACTGCCCTCTGGGACCTTGTGCCACTCTGCAGCACCCGGCTGTCCCCTCCCCAGCCGCCCCGTGCCCATGCTGGGCTTGACCCAGCTGGGTCGGGTGCTGAGCCAGCAGGGCAGGAGCAGCAGCTCTCCACAGCCCCAGTGACCCCATCGGGCTCTGCCATCCACCACCCAGCAGTGCTGCTGGAAAACTGGTCCCAGACCCAGCCGGAGAGCCGGGAGCAGGGCTGCTGGTGCAGGGGAGGCTGTGCCAAACCTGCACCCCCTCCCATGCTGGGCTTGACCCAGCTGGGTCGGGTGCTGAGCCAGCAGGGCAGGAGCAGCAGCTCTCCACAGCCCCAGTGACCCCATCGGGCTCTGCCATCCACCACCCAGCAGTGCTGCTGGAAAACTGGTCCCAGACCCAGCCGGAGAGCCGGGAGCAGGGCTGCTGGTGCAGGGGAGGCTGTGCCAAACCTGCCCCCCTGCCTGTGGTGGGGGGCACCAGCTCGGTTCGGGAAGGAGCTGAGCTGCGTTTCCTGAGGCAGCACCAAGCGAAGAAACCCTGACTGAGGCAAACGCAGCCATATGGCACTGGGCTCCGGCTGGTTGGTGCCAGGGCTTCTGCAAAGAGCCAGAGTGGCCATCTGGCCCCAAGGCAGCTTGACCCAGCTCCAGCCCTTGTTCTGCATCAGCTTCCTCAGCCTCCGCTTCCCTTTTGGTCCCTCTGCACCGCTTTCGCCAGAGCAGACGTCGTCTCCGCTGTGCCCTTGCATAGGACGGTGCTGAGCGCTGCCCTTCCCCATGCAAGTTTTGGGTGCTGTCGGGCCTGGATGTGACCCTTTGCTCTGCAAGGACTCTCTCTGCAGCCCTGGTGCGAACGCATCCCCGTGGTGGGCAGCAGCGTGATCCAGAAGGTGCGAGGTTGGGGCCAGAGAAGCTGGCCCAGATCCACAACGTGGCAAACTCTGCCTGAGCAGAGCCTGCTCCTGCCAGGACTGAGTGGGCTTCTCCCCTGGGGGTCTGGCGAAGGATGGAGTCAGGTTGGGCTTGCGAGCAGAGCCGGGGAGCTCTCTTCGAGCATGGTGGACAGACCCAGCCCAGGCTTGCCAGTGCCCAAGGACGACGGGTCCTGTCAAGGCCCTTTCAAAGAGCCATTGGAAACCTGCACCCATCTCCAGAACAACCAGGCTGAGAGTCTTGTCCCAGGTCCTCAGGGTCAACATCCCCCCTTGCACCCACCTCCCCAAGCCCTGCAGAAGCTCAGGAGCCCATCAGCCATGTCTGAAACGAGATGTTGGCAGCGGCTCCCGCACCCGCTCAGCATCCCCCCCCTCTCCCCAGGCTCAGAGCTTCCACCCCTCCTGCCCCCAGCCAGCCAAGCCACAGGGAGCCGTGGCCTTCCCCAAATCGATGCCATGGGCAGCAGCAGAACTGGCTGGCCCTGCTGGATCAGCCACCCGCGTGGTGCCAAGCAAGCAGAGGCTGCCTGCCTCCATCGCCCTCTGCCCCCAGTCTCCGTGTGGACAGTGGGCAGCATCCAGGGCAGAGCCCCATCCAGTTCCTCTTTCCGGGTCCCGAGACGCATTCCCCCAGGGTGGTGGCCATCTGCAAAGGGGAACCTTCTGGGGAAGCTGAAACAAGTGAAGAAAATCAGGGAAATCAGTGAAAGTGTGCAAAGTGCTAATGAAGCCCATGCCCTGAGCCCAGGGAGGGAGGAGCGGCCGTCACTGCAGCCTGGGGACAGGCACCTTCTTGGGGAAAAAGTTCTCCCCGTGGGATTCCACCCATGACATCTCCTGGTGTGGCATCTGAGCACACCACGTGTCCGGCTGCGCTTTCCAGGGCTGGTGGAGGGAAAGGGGCCGTGACTCGGGGGGATGAGAGATGTGGGAGGCAGCTTGCTCCTTGCCCAGGAGGAATGTGGGCTGGCCGACATACCACACTGATAAGGGGCTGCCTGGGGGCATCCCAGGAATTTGAGGTGTGGGCTGTCAGGAGGAAGAGGAGAGGAAAACATCCATGGGAATAGCCAGCATAAATCAGCCGTCCCGCCCTGACCGGCAGGGATGTGCCGGGACCCCACCCCAGGGACACCACCCCCCCGTCTG